AGACACCTGAATCCTGTATCTCCAACAGAATTTTTGCCGCAGAAGAAGCAGCTCCATGTCCACAAACTCCCTGTCTCAAGGGACATGAGTTTCCTTTTCCTTTCCCCTTGCCCTTTTGCCTTAAGGACACAAATTTCATTTTCCCTGAACACCCTGCCTAAGAGGACATGGACCCCATGTCTCCCAAACTTCCTGTCTCAGGACATGAACCTTCTATCCCCCAAAGCTCCTCCCTCAGAGGCCCCCAACTCCCATGCCTGCCACTTACCCTCACCTGGAGCACCCTAGTTCTCCCTCCAGCCCCTGTGGACCTTCACCAATCCCCCAACCCGCCTCATCTCACACACCTTCCTCCTCCCTCCCAGGGCACAGAAATGTTCCCTATGCTGGGCTCTGTGCTGAGAGACCCCCAGGTTCTTCTCCAACCCCCAGGACTTCAATCCCCAGTAATTCCTGGATGGGAAGAGACAGTTTAAGAAGAGTGATGCTTTTGTGCCCTTTTCCATTGGTAAGAGACCACTGTTTGCTGCAAGGCCACTGCTCACACCAGCAGGGGCCTCCCTCACCCAGCTGTCCTTTCTGTGGTGTAGCTGGTATTTCCCTGGCTTCCAAGTTCCTGTTAGAATCTACCCTTTAGTCATCAGCTGATACTCCCTTAACGACTCAGTACCTGCACCCAGGCAAAAGGGAAGGAAACATCTTACCCCTTTCAGAGTGGGGAAAACCAAGGCCCAGAGTGAATCAGATTCATTTGTCTAGGGTCACACAGCAGATTCTTCAGATTCCTAAAAAGGAGATGATAGCACAGCAGTCATATTTGCGAGTGTATCTGGAGGAAGGGGCATCTAAACCTTCCATTATGACACCTGGCATGGATCACCCCATCTTTCGTACATCCTTTGTACACTCAGGAAACTGAGGCTCAGGGAGGATCAGAGCCTCCTCTGAACATCTCTCAGGCCATAATATTCCACCCCTCCTCCCTAGGAGAGCTGTAGCTGGAGGTCGGTAGTGGGGTGAGGCTACACCGAGAGTGGGCTTCACCTCCACCCCTCCCGCCTCTCCTCCTCAGGAAGGACACAAATTTCAAGGACACCAAGTTTCTCCTCCTTTATTCCCCTCCTTTGAGAACCTCACTCATTAGTGGGAGTTATCGCTTTCATCCTCACTACCCATGATTTCTTGCAAGACAGATTAATAGTGATTCATATAGTACACTTGTGCTGTAGCATTTTGTTGGACTAAGGTAGCGATGAAGCTTTTTATCATTTGAAGAAGTATAGGTAGCAAACAAGGGAGCAGGAAGCAGGTTCCTATTACTACTATAACTCCTATTATGAGAGTTTAAATCCTCCTAGTGCTGGGAACCATTTTCCAAACATGGCCCCCGGATCCAATCCATGCCACACTTACACGGGCACATGTGCCAGTTTTGTCATATCTCTAACTATGTCTTCAACTACTTGTTCTTGGTCATCTATGTGTAGACAACAATTAGTAAGGTTAAGTTTCTCACAGGCGCCTCCTTCAGCTGCTAGCAAGTACTCAAGAGCCAATCTATTTTGATAGATAGTACTTCTCGTCTGTGTTTCTTGCCAGGCCAAAATAGTCAAGGCTCTGTCGGTTTTATTAGTGATTATTTCTAAGACAGCTGGTAACCATATGATTCGGTTGAACATGTAAGTGCCCAGCCTGTTGTACATTTTACATTATAGAGGGAATATAATTGTAACGTTTGTAACACAAAGAAATGGTGAGTGCTTGAGGTGATGGTTACCAGATTTACCCTGATGTGATTATTATATGTGATTATACACTGTATGTCTCTCTACATTGTATGTCTGTGATTATACATTGTCTGTATCGAAATATCTCACACACCCTATACTATATACACCTACTATGTGGCCACAAAGATTTTTAAAAATAAAAATTGCATAGACTCCTCAAACCCCAATCTCCAGTACTTTTCTTGTCTTGCTCCACCCCAGGACCACAGCTCAAAACCTCAAGTCTATCAGAATTTCTCCCTCCTGTCGGCCTCCTCTTCATTTGACCTTATAAAATTCTAGAAGCTTCTGTAGTTAATATATAAGCGAGAAAGGAACTCCTAATCTTTTCTGTGGAGTCCCATCCAAAGTTTCACCCCAACTGACTTGCTGCCCGTGAGCGGTTTCCCTTCTACCCACCTCCACCCTTTCCATCCCTTCCACACTCCCGCATCTGAAAACCTGGACAAACTTGAGAAAGCCCTGTGGTTTATTTGCAAAGTGCTCCCCCAGGAAGGACAGAGGCCAGGGCCCAGGAGAGAGGCAGCCCTGGGAGGTGGGAATGGCCCCAGACCCAGAGTAACAAGAGGTCACTGGGAACAATGAGGAGTGAGAAGGCTGAGGGCGCCGTGGTCCTCATTCCACCCACCTTCCATTCTGCTGTCGCTCTTAAAAGACATGTTGTTCTGTTTGTTGTTTGATTTCTGTGGTTGGTAAGGGAAGATGTGCCATGCATTTGCACTGGCAGAGTCCCTGCCAACTCTTCAGAGGCTACAAGGAGCCCAAAGCTGGCAGGTGCTACAGAGACCAACAGGTTAGCATCTCAGGGCTGAGTCTCAGAGCCAGCTTCCCATTGGCCACAGGCTGGCTGGTGTATCCTCGTGATAAAGATATTAAACTTGCAGCACCTCCCTCAGGGAAGGGTGGTGGTCCTGCTGGTGGAATGTGTGGAGGCTGGATTGATTGATTGATTGATTGATTTTTGAGATGGAGTCTTGTGTTGTCGCCCAGGCTGGAGTGCAGTGGTGGGATCTTGGCTCACTGCACACTCTGCCTCCTATGTTCAAGTGACTCTCCTGTCTCAGTCTCCTGAGCAGCTGGGACTACAGGTGCGTGCCACCACACCAGGCTAATTTTTGTATTTTTTTAGTTGAGACAGGGTTTCCGTATGTTAGTCAGGCTGGTCTCAAACCCCCTGACTTGAGGTGCTCCACTAGCCTTGGCCTCCCAAAGTGCTGTGATTATAGGCATGAGCCACCATGTCCAGCCTGGAGGCTGGATTTAGACTGGTTCCACTTCAAGAATACTGCTAAGCTTTACCAAAAGGTTGCATTGCAGCACAGGGGATCGAGAGTAACTGGCAGGCAGAATTGGGGGCATCTTGGGCTCTTTGGGGATGAGAATTTATTCTGGGTCTCAGAAGAAAGTGGGATATGGAGGAGACAGTCTGATGGAGGAGGCCTAGCTCCATTTTGGGAGGGCTGTGGGGGTAGGGGATGCTGATTAGCCACTCATTCATCCATTCATTCCTCAGCAAATATTTTGAACACCTGTCATAGGCCACACGCTGTGTTGAGAGTACGGTGATGAGCAAGACAATGGTTTAGCCCTTCACAGAGTTGGCATTGAGGTGAGAGAGGCGTTCTCACCAATGTTCCTTCCAGAAAAATCCCTAGGGACCTGACAACAAAAGAATCCCACACGAAATGGCACAGATCACCTCTTGACCTGGGGAGGTCAGGCTTTAGAGATGTTTAATTCTCAGCGGATTTGAAGGAACATATCAGAGAATCCAAAGCACCAGTGCAGAATCCCACAGCTCAGGGAACCTGGGCCAAGGAGGCTTTTGACAGAGGGAAGCAATAGGAAGAGGCAGCTGGGAACGAGGATGGGGGAGGACTACAGCAGTGTGTGACTGTAGTCTACAACAGGCATGACCCTCAAAAATAGCGTTCAACGTGAAAGCAACCAGACACAAAAGATCACATATTACGCCTGTAATATCAGCACTTTGGAATGCTAAGATGGGTGGATCACCTAAGGCCCGGAGCTCACAACCAGCCTGGCCAACATGTCCCCACTAAAAGTATAAGAAAATCAGCCAGGCGTGGTAGCACATGCCTGTGATCCCAGCTACTTGGGAGCTGAGGCAGGAGAATCTCTTGAACCTGGAAAGCAGAGGTTGCAGTGAACCAAAATCACACCACAGCACTCCAGCCTGGGAGACAGATCAAGGTTTTGTTTCAAAAAAAAAAAAAAAAAATCTAGTATTGTATGATTCTGTTTATAGGAAATATTGAGAATCGGTAAGTCCATAGGGACAAAAACCAGATTGTCAGGGGCTGAGATGAAAAGGAGAATGGGGTATGGGGAGTGACAGCTTGACAGGTATGGGTTTTGTTGGAGGGAGATAATGAAACATTTGGAACTAAGCAAATCACCTAACATCAGGAGTTCAAGACCACCTAAAAATACAAAATTTAGCCCGGCATGGTGGAGGGCACCTGTGATCCCAGCTACTCCAGAGGCTGAGGCAGGAGAATCTGTTGAACCCAGGATGTGAAGGTTGCAGTGAGCTGAGATGGCGCCACTGAACTCCAGCCTGGGTGACAGAGTGAAACTCCCTACCAGAAAAAAGAAAATGTTTGGAACTAGATGGTGGTGGCTGTACAGCTTTGTGAATGAACCACATGCCACTATGCACACTTTAAAATGGCTAATTTTATGTTATGTGAATTTCATCTTAATTTTTAAAATCTTATATGTACATGGCCGAGCACGGTGACTCACACCTGTAATCCCAGCACTTTGGGAGGCTGAGGCAGGTGAATCACTTGAGTTCAGGAGTTCGAGACCAGCCTTGCCAACATGGTGAAACCCCGTCTCTACCAAAAATACAAAAATTACTGAGCGTGGTAGCACACGCCTGTAATCCCAGCTACTAGGGAGGCTGAGGCAGGAGAATTGCTTGAACCCGGGGGTGGAAGTTGCAGTAAGCCGAGATTGTGCTACTGCACTCCAGCATGGGTGACAGAGTGAGACTCTGTCTTTAAAAAATATATATATATTATATATATAATATATATATTTATATTATATAAATTATATAATATATATAATATATAATATATATATTTATATTATATAAATTATATAATATATATAATATATAATATATATATATAGTATAGTATAATTTTCAATAATCTCGCTCCTCCACTCACTTGCAATGTGATCTCAGACAACTGGTGCCATGGAGGGGAAGGAAGCTGGCTTGCTGCAGGTCTCTCAGAGGCAGGAAGTTGCGGGGAGTCAGAGCCACTGTCTACAGAGGTGGGGACACTGAATGACCCTGGAATCCTTTGACCCCCTTCCCTCAGCCCCTTCAGCGGGGCAGGAAGCGGATCTGGTACGTTGGGGGTATTTTGCCCACACCACACTCCTGGGGTGTCAGATCGATGTCCTCAGGAGCCACGGGGCTGGCCACGGAGAAGTTCTGGAGGATGGTGGTGAAGAAGAGGAACAATTCGTTGCGGGCGATGCCTTCATCAAGGCAAATCCGCCTCCCTGTGGACACAGAAGGTCACCAGTGTGGGCACAGGGCAGGTGAATACTCTTCACTCTCATATGTCCCTAAGCCCAGATACGTATGTCCACTGCAACAGATTTGCATAAGACTGGCCTTTTACCTACAATTCAGGGTGGACTTTGAGGAAGCTGCTCTGAAACCAGGTGCAAATCTTTGAGTGGATGTGCCACGTTCATCTCTCTCTCTCTCTCTATTTATTTATTTTTTTTTTGAGATGGAGTCTCTCTCTCTCACTCAGGCTGGAAGACAGTGGCGCCATCTCGGCTCACTGCAACCTCTGCCTCCCGGGGGTTCAAATGATTCTCGTGTCTCAGCCTCCCAAGTAACTGGGATTACAGGTATCCACTACCGTGCCTGGCTAATTTCTTGTATCTTTAGTAGACATGGGGTTTCACCATGTTGGCCAGGCTGGTCTTAAACTCCTGACTTCAGGTGATCCTCTCACCTTGGCCTCCCAAAGTGCTGGGATTACAGGCATGAGCCACTGCGCCCAGCGCCATGTTCATTTTTCTGGTAGAGGGTTTGTAGCTTCTGTTAGAGTTCCAAAGGGTTTGGTGACCTCCACAGAGTACAATGACCTGCTTCCGGTTGTGTGTGTGTGTGTGTGTGTGTGTGTGTACCTCTACATGTGTGAGTGTGAGCGTATTTATGACAACATTCTTAGTGTTCTTCACTTCTCATACGGGGAGAATGGCACCCCTCTCAAAGGGCTCTTGTGTGGTTAAAGGAGACAACTGACAAAACTCTTAGGATAGCACTTGGCTTGTGCTAAGGAGCCTTAAGGTTTGGTTATCGTCTTGTGTTTGTTTCTGGGGGTATGTGTGGGGTATGTGTTTCTGGCCATGTGTCTGTGTGTGTGTCTCTAGGCTGTCTTCGGGTCTCAGCCTGAGATCCACAGGCTTCAAGAGCTCAGGGGGGAAAAAACCCAAGTTGTATGTAAATTGTGAATGGGACCAATGCATGTGAGTCAGGGAGGGTCTTTTTCTTCCACTGATTCTCAGAGGTGCAAGGAACCCCCCATAGGTTCTAAACTACAGACCTGGAGAAAAATGAGAACAACGGGAGCCAGAGAAAGCTGAGGCAGAGACAAAGGGAGCCTTTCCCTTCACTTCAGTGTTTCGTAATCTGCAGACCTTGGAAAGGCCATGTCAAGTGTGAGTTTTCAGGCATTCCCTACGCCTGTCAAGTTGTTGGACAAGTGCGTCTACGTGGAGGTGTCTGGAAAAGGGTCCACGTCCCTTTGGCACATCCAGAAGGTGGGCGACATGAGCTGAGAAACAGGCAGGTCTCTGGGCTTGTCCTTCTGTAACTATTTGTGTGACCTAACGTTTTCCACAACAGCCTGATGCTTGTTAGCTCCCTCCCATCACGCCCTCCCCTCTGGGGCCGTCTGTTTGGACCCCTTTTGGAATTTCTTTGGCTGCAGTACACTTTTGGCTTGGGTTATACCTTTCTTTCTGCTCCTGGCAGCCCTACCCCTGTCTTTTTCTCTGTCTATACCTGTCAGACACAGTTTCTCTTCCTTTCCTCTCCTTTTTTGGGCTTTCTTCCATCTTGCTTAACTTCCTATCTCCGTCTATTTGAATCTGATTCCTCCCCAATCTCTCTTGCTCTATCCTTTTTTCATCTCCCTCTAAAGATACTTTATTTGTCTTGTTCATTCTTTCTTCCTCTCTTCTTATGTCACTCTCTCTTTTTCCTATCTCTTATCTGTTTCTCTCCTTTCCCTCCTTCCTTCTCCCCTCCTCCTTCCTTTTCCTCCTCCCTCTCCTCTTATTCCTCCTTCTCCTCCTTCTCCTTATGTGGCTCTCTCTCTCTGTGTCTCTCTCTCTTCTTCTCCGTATACTGTCTGATGTTCACCTGCTGTCTGTCTTTCTGCCACTGTCTCCCCATCTCTATCTCTCAGTGTGTTCCCTCTTTGTCCCTAACTCTGTTTCTCAGTCTCATTATCTTTGTTACTTATCTGTCTCTGTCCTTATTTTCCTACATCTCTGCCTCTCTTAAAACAAAGGAGCAGGCCAGTTGCAGTGGCTCACGCCTGTAATCCCAGCACTTTGGGAGACCAAGGCAGGCTTACCACAAGGTCAGAAGATCAGGACCATCCAGGCTAACAAAGTGAAACCCTGTCTCTACTAAAAATACAAAAAATTAGCCAGATGTGGTGGCACGAGCTTGTAGTCCCAGGTACTTGGGAGGCTGCGACAGGAGAATCGCTTGAACCCAGGAGGCAGAGGTTGCAGTGAGCTGAGATCATGACACTGCACTCTAGCCTGGGCAACAGAGCAAGACTCTATCTCAAGAAAAAAAAAAAAAAAAAAAAAACTTAAGATAGCAAAATTGAGAGATGACATTAACCCTCAAGCCATCACCCCATGTGTTCCCAACTTTTATTGAAGGTAAAATGTGGAAGGAGGCCACTGTGCTGGACAAAACGAGGGGTTGGGCCAGGACCCTGGATCACTGAAGTCACTGATGAAACTCAAGACTGGGGGTTTGTTTCTGGGGCCTTTCATGGACGGTGCCTGTTAAATTAAATTAAATTTGGCCTAAAGTGGCCTTCCTACATAACAAACCGTAATAACTCAATATGTAACTCAATATGTAAACAAACTGCAATGTAACTTGAGAGTATATTCTTGTAACAAGTAATCTTGGCCAATCACGGCAGCCAAGTTTCAGGCAATCACAGGCTGCAAGCTGCCCAGACATGCTCAGATAAGGCAAACACAGAGCTGTAACCAATCAGGCTGTTTCTGTACCTCAGTTCCTTTCCCTGTGGATAAATAATGCCTGACCACTTTCCCTGTGGATAAATAATGCCTGACCACATTGCTGGATGGAGCTCTCTGAACCTTTACTGGTTCCATGTGCTGCCCAATTCATGAATTGTTTCTTTGCTCAAATACACTCTGCTAAGTTTAATTTGTCAAAAGTTTTTCTCTTAACCAGCCAAAGAGTGGAGGATGAGAACTGGGACAAGTCAGAGCACGTCAAGACCTTCTCCACCCTCCAGTGCTAGAGCAGAAATCCAAACTCCTCTCGCAGATTTCAAGGTCCTGCCCAGCTGAGCCCTTTGTCTTATTCCCTTCTGCAATCTACACCCAAGGCTCACTGGATTTCCTATAGTTTCTCAACGGTACCATCACGTTTCCACCTTTGGCCTTTGCCTTTGCTGTTTCCTTTGCCTGGAACACACTTTGCAATGGTTGATTGACACTCACCCATGAACATCTTGGCTTGGAAGCCAGTTCCTCTGGTAAGCTTTTCCTTACTGACCCCACAAGATTAGCTAGTATTTCCTATTTTGTGCTCCCAAAGCTCCCTTTAGAGTACTTATGTCTAATTATAATAATAATTGCCCTTGTGCCAGGCGGTTCTAAGCATGTTGCAGGCATTCATTCATTTCATGAGATGATTATTATTATTTGATGAATGCCCATCTTCCCTGTTGGACTTTAAATTTCCTGGGGCAGGAACCCTGTCTCTGTGTGACTTGTTTGATGCATTATCTTCAGCCCCCAGTAGAGCACTGGGCTTAGGGTAGTGCTCAACAGATTTTCTCTTTTTAAGAAAATGAATTCACTGAGGTTTAGAGATGTTAAAATACTTGCCCAAGGTCCTGCTTGCCAAGATGTGCCTTTGGAATGTGATCTTCCTTTTCAAACCCCCTTACAGGGTTGTAGTGAAGATGGAATGGGATAAAGCAGGTGAAGCAATTGGAATATATTAAGTGCTCAATTAATAAGGACCTGTCATTGTTTTTCTCAAGTTGAGGGTAGGACCTGCCCTTGGTGTCTGGGAAAGAAATTGTGGGTCCAGCTTACCTAAGGAGAAGGGGATAAAAGCTTCATTCTTCTTCAATGCCCCATTGGCATCCAGAAAGTGGTCAGGATTGAAGGTGTCTGGTTTCTCAAAGTAGTGTGGGTCATGGAGAGCAGTACTCAGGAGGGGAAATACTTCCGTGTCCTGAGGGAGGATCACAAGATCAAAAGATATTGTCATTCCCTTCCCATCCTCCACACACACACACCACAAAAAAAGAAAAAGAAAAAACAAAAACAAAGGGACTCAATTGAGAAGCTTAAAAAAGGTTGAGTTTGGGGATTAAGAGAATCCAGGATGCCCACAGAGGAAGGATGTGGGAGTCCAGCTGGTGTTACCTTGGGGATGATGTACCCTCGGAAGCTGGTCTGTTGTGTGACAATGTGGGGCACACCCATGGGGAGAAGGTCGGCAAATCTCTGAATCTCATGGATGACTGCCTCTGTGTATGGCATTTTGGCTCGGTCATCAAGCGCTGGAGGGCGATGTGGGCCAATCACCTGTTCAATCTCCTTGTAGATTCTCTCTGCAGAGGAGAGAACACGAATGAATCTCATTTTAAAGAGTCATTTCAGGCCGGGCATGGTGGCTCATGCCCATAATACCAGCATTTTGGGAGACCGAGGCAGGCGGATTGCTTGAGGTCAGGAGTTCAAGATGATCCTGGCCAACATGGCAAAACCCCATCTGTACTAAAAATACAAAAAATTAGCCGGGTGTGGTGGTGCACGCCTGTAGTCCTAGCTACTCAGGAGGCTGAGGCAGGAGATTCGCTTGAACCCAGGAGTTGGAGGTTGCAGTGAGCTGAGATCGTGCCACTGCACTCCAGCCTGGGTGACAGAGCAAGACACCTTCTCAAAAGAAAAAAAAAGAAAAAAAAATTTTTTTAAAGAGACCTTTCAGCAGGGACACTACTTTCTACTCAACAATGAAAAACCTATAGTAAAAGGTCAGATCCTTGATACCCCTCAAAGCAATCAGCATGGGGTGAGGGAAGGAGGGAGGAAGCAACAAGAATTCTCACTGATTGAAATCTAATGGATATTAGGGATCCTCTTCCCACATGCACAGGTACACACACACACACACATGCACACACACACCACAATTTTGCATGGAATTTCAGATTAAGAACTGCAGGCTACAACCACTCAAAACATCCTCTCTAAGATGAGTAGAAAATAAACTAATATTTATTTTGTGTATAATATACATGAGACACTATTCTTGGTCCTCAGAAACATAGCAGTGTAGTAGAACAATAGATGAATCCATGAACAACTGGATAGATAAATAAATACATAAATCAATCAGTCAATAGATTAACTCATGGATGGAAAGATGGGTGAATAAATGAACAAATGAATAAATGGATGTATAGATTTACTTATCAATTAGTAGATGGATTGCTTAATTAATCACTAATGCATGGTCCATAGAGAAATCAATGAAACCAATTAATGAATAATCACATGAATGGCTAGATTTACGGAAGAACAAGTGAATAAGTAAATTAGTGAAGAATGAATAAATAAAGGAATAAAGGAATGGCTGAATTGAGTGATAAATAGATCAGAGGTGAATAAATGAGTGAATTACTGTGATAAATGAAGGAACGCATGGATGGAATAAGGGTGAATTGAAAGATTGACTGATGCAAGGATAAGGGTGAAACCTAGTTCGTAGAAGGATGGATGAATGCATGAATGAATGAATGAATGAGCCAATGAGTCAATGACAAATAGTCCATCAACATATCACTGTTTCAAAGAATCAACTTGTGGATCAAGTAATCCAAATAAATGAATGACAGTATATGTCTTTGATTGAATCATAGATGAAAGAATCAGTGAGTATACATTCTTTAATCAATGAATTAAAGAATGAGTAGATGAAAAGATAAGTAGATGAATGGATCAATTTTAAAGTGATGGTACAGAAAGTCAAATTTCGCATGTTCTCACTCATAAGTGAATGTTACAAAATGTGTACACATGGACACAGAGAGAGGAATGATAGACAGTGAAGACTCAGAAGAGTGAGGGGGCAGAAGGGGGTGAATGATGAGAAATTACTTAATGGCTACAATGTACATTGTTCGGGTGATAAATACCCTAACAGCCCTAACTTGACCACTACAAAACGTAGGCATGTAACAGAACTGCATATGTACCCCTTAAATTTGTACATCATGAGGTCAGGAGATCAAGACCATCTGGGCGAACACGGTGAAACCCCGTCTCTACTAAAAATACAAAAGATTAGCTGGGTGTGGTGGTGGGTGCCTGTAGTCCTGGCTACTTGGAAAGCTGAGAAGGGGAGAATGGTGTGAACCCTGGAAGTGGAGCTTGCAGTGAGCCGAGATCGTGCCACTGCACTCCAGCCTGGGCAACACAGCACGACTCTGTCTCAAAAAACAAAACAAAACAAAAACAAAAAAAAACAAAGAAAAAAAAAACAACTTAGAACAAAAAATCCTTAAGTGATGGGAGAAACCAGTGGGAGAACGTATGGACAGGTTCTTCATGCGTTCATGCATCCACCAACAGAACTGGCTTAGTGGAAGCTAGTCCAAAGCCTGCAGTGCTCCCAGAATAGGAAGCCAGCATCCCCTCTCTCATCCAGGTGGTACCCATAGCCCCATTTCTACAGCTCAGAAGGAGGTCAGAAGACCCCCTTGATAGGCTGTCCCTTGCCCACCTGCGACGTGAGGGTATTTGAGCATGAGCAGGAAGCCGTAGCGGAGAGTGGTGCTGGTGGTCTCAGTGCCAGCAAAGAAGAGCGAGAGCGTGTTGATGATGAGGTTCCGGTGGCTGAATTCACTGTGTGGGTTGGATTTCTCCTGTGTCCACAGTAGGGAGGGGCAGAGAGGGGGAGGCTGTAGCCTTGCTGTGAACACGCCCGTCTCCCTGGCTGCCCTCTGTTTGCCTAAAGGTCTTTGACACTATCTGGCTCAGTGTGCTTTTTGCTGTCCTCTACATGTCCAGCCGCATATCTCTAACCCGTCTCTCTCAGCCTCTCTTTACTCTGCCTGGCTCTGTTTCTATCTCTCTCCACATCTCTTTGATGTGTTTCTCTCTTTTTGTCTCCCAGTCTCTTTCTGCCTCTGAGTCTTTTCTCCTGTTGCTGTATTTTTGTCCCTTACCCTGAATTCCTTCCTCAGTCAGTCTTCTCTCTCTTCTCTCTCCTTCTCTCTCTCTGTCCCTCTCCCTCTCTCCCCACCTTCCCTCTCTCTCCATCTCAGTTCCTCCTCCCTATTTTCTCCTTCCTTTCACCTCATCTTTCTTTCCTTCCTCATCTCCTCTCCTCCCTTTCTCTATTCTCCCCTCCCTAGTCTTTGTTCTTCCCTCCCCCTCTTCCCCTTCCCTACCAATTTTCCCTCCCTCTTCTCACCTCTCCATCTTGCCCTCCCTCTCCTCCCCTCCCTTTTCCCTCTCCCAGACCCCACTTTTTCCATTTGGAGCAGGTAGCTGTCGATGAGGTCCTGGGGGGCGCTGGGGTCCAGGGTTTCACGGTGCTTCTCCACACTGTGGCCAATATAAGCATTGATTTCCTGCAGGTTTTTGTAGACTTGCCTGTGTGCCCCAGGAAAGTATTTCAAGAAGCCAGACAAGAGCTCAAACAGCTGCAAGAAAGAAGGGGTGGTGAGGTTTGCCTAGGGCTGAGCGAGCAGGTCACAGGGAGAGGGCCCTTCCTGGGCCCCAATACCTCCGTGGGAACCCCCCTTCCCCACTCCCCTCTGTCTCTGAACCCTCACTCACTGACTGTATGTCTCATTTGATCTGTTATTCTCACATTTACCTCTTTCGGCATCTTCCTCCCTCATCCTTCTGTCTTTTTCTTGGCCTCTGCCCCATCTCCCTGCCTCTCTCCTTTCCATCTCTCTGTTTCTGTCTTGCTTCCTTTCTGTGCCACTCATTGTCTACCTCAGCCTGTTTATTTGTCTTTCTCATACTTTTCTCTCCCTCTTCCCACCTCTTCTCATCTCCCTTGCTGTGTCGGACATTGATAAAATGATTCTTCGCAAGATAAGCCTGCTGACACTTTAGGACTATGTATTTTGGAGCACATCTCTATTACTTTGATGAAGAATGGAATGCCTAATTTATTGCAAATAATTGCAAAAATGCAAACGTATATACTGAGATGTAAAATTCCTTCTTAATTTCTCCTAGAGATGACCATTGTTAACTGTCTGGTGGGTCTCCTTCCAGACTTTTCTCTGTGGTTCTCAATGGGAGGAGAACATTAGAATTATTGGTCGGGCTTGTTACAAGTACTCACTTTGGGCCCCATCCCAGACTTTCCAGATCAGACCGTCTGGAAAGCAGGGCCCTGAAAATCCATAACTGTGACAATCCCACATGTGAATCCAACATACACCCTTAGTTAATAGATGTAGCTATGTTGACCAGCCTGGCCAACATGGTGAAACCCCATCTCTATTAAAAATACAAGAAAATAGCCAGGTGTGGTGGAGCTCGCCTGCAGTCCCAGCTACTTGTGAGGTTGAGGCACGAGAATCGCTTGAACGAGTGAGCCGAGATCACAGTACTGTACTCCAGCCTGGGCAACAGAGCAAGATACTGTCTCAAAACAACAAACCAACAAAGCTACTGCTATGCATACTGTTCTGCAGCTTGATAGTCTTAAATTTAATATGTAATAGGCACATTTCCATGTTAATCAATAAGGAGACTTTTTAGTATTTTGTTTTAAAAGAGCAGAAGGTTACCTTTATAATCTGGGGAATGTTTTTTTAAAAAAACAAAACAAAACAAAACAAAAAAAACAAGTAGAAGGAGAAATGGGAAAAAATGAAGAAATGCTGTTCCTTATTGTCATGCATCCTTGATTTTCTTCAGGTGAGGAGCTTTACCAAAGACAGAGAAGCAAGGATACAGAAGAACGAGGAGCAGGCTGGGCACAGTGGCTCACGCCTGTAATTCCAGCACTTTGGGAGGTCGAGGTGGGCAGATCACTTGAGGTCAGTAGTTCGAGATGAGCCTGGCCAACATGGTGAAACCCCGTCTCTACTAAAAATACAAAACAATTAGCTGGGCGTGGTGACAGACCTGTAATCCCAGCTACTCAGGAGGCTGAGGCAGGGGAATTGCTTGAACCAGGGAGGTGGAGGTTACAGTGAGCCAAGATTGCACCACTGCACTCCAGCCTGGGCAACAGAGTGAGACTCCGTTTCAAAAAAAAAAAAATTAGCCAGGTGTGGTGGCGCATGCCTGCAGTCCCAGCTACTTGGGAGGCTGAGGCAGGAGAATCACTTGAACCTGGGAGGTGGAGGTTGTAGTAAGCAAGATGGCACCACTGCACCCCAGCCTGGATGAGAGAGTCAGACTCCGTCTAAAAAAATAATAATAATAACAAAAATGACATCGAGGAGCAGAAGAGTAGAGATGAAGCCCAAAGCCTGATTCGTTCTCTCTCTCCCTCTCTTTCACACTCATTCTCATCTACTCTGTCTCTCAGGATCTCTTGATCTCTGTCCTTTGTCTTGTTTTTGCTCATCTTCCTTCTCTCAGTCTCTCTCTGACTCTATTTCTGCCTCCACATCATGCCCCATTCTCTCTCTCACTGTCTCTATCCCTGTCTCACCATCTCCCCTCCCTTCAGTCTCCATGTCCCTGACTCTCCACATGGTCTCTGCCTTTCTTCCAGCGATAAGCTGCATTTCTGGGCCCCCAAGACAGGTCGTCCTTTTCTCGTGTGTCCTGGATGTTCACCTCACCCCCACCCTCCCTCTCCTTCTCCCTCTCCCTGACCTGGCCGAACATAGAACTGGCGAGTGAGAAAGTGTGGGTAGAACAAGTTCAGTATCTTCAGGAACTCTTGATCTTGGTAGTGGAAGCGTTTTCCAAAGACGATGGAGCAGATGATGTTGGCGGTAATGGAATGGAAGAGGAAGGTGGGGTCCACGAGGGCTCCTAGGAAGCAGCAGCAGGTCAAGGACACAGACTGAAGGACCTGGGGAACATCAGGCTGTCACCCATCTCTGTGTGATTGTCTGCCATCACTCAGTAATGATAACCATAAGAATAACCATAACAGCTAATTCTGTACCAGCACTTCACACATAATTCCACTGAATTCTCTCTACAACATTATGAAGCAGATGCAACTTGATTATTAGCTCCAATTTTTAGATGGGCAGACAGAGAGGTTGGAGTAATTTGACTTAAGTTGCACAGTCACTCATTACTGTGGCCAGGATTTAGACCCAGGCAACGCAGCTATAGAGTCCATGCAGCCGGTGCTCACTCTACACCTCCTCTCAGGCCCCACCTCTGACTCTGGGAGCAAATACAGTTAAATCCCAGGGGTAGGGGTTGGGCAGAGTAGGTGTTCAATCAATTGCTTGTATAAATCAAAAATCTCTGGGTGGGCACAGTGGCTCATACCTCTAATCCCAGCACTTTGGGAGCCTCAGACAAAAGGATCAGGAATTCAAGACCAGCCTGGCCAACATACGGAGACCCTGTCTCTACAAAAAAAATTAAAAATGTAGCCAGACATGGTGGCACATGCCTGTCATCCCAGTTGGAGGAATCCAGGGTGCTGAGTGGGAGGATCACTTGGGCCCAGGAGTTTGAGGCTGCAGTGAGCTGTGATGGTGACACTGCACTCCAACCTGGGTAACAGAGTGAGACCCTGTCTCTAATTTAAAAAAAATAAAAAACCATCTTTCTACCCCTACCTATTACTCCCCAGTCATCTCTTCTTTTCACATATAGGGCTCGCCAGTCTTCCGGGAATTGTTCTGCACTTGTTAATTGATACCTGTATACACCAGGCTCAGCCCTGGCTCCAGCTGGAGGGTGATCTGTGAGCGCCCAAGAACATCAGGTTGGCACAGCCTCTCTCTGAGTTTCACTTGCCTTCTTCTCTCATTACTCTGCAGACCTTTTCCTGAGCCTTGTCTGTCTGTCTCTCTAATTTCTCTCCCTCAGTTTCTCTTTGCCTTTGTTTCTTTCTGTCTCTCTGTGTGTATATTTGTCTCCCTCCTACTTTTTTTTTGGAGACAGAGTCTTACTCTGTCATGTAGGCTGGAGTGCAGTAGTGTCATCTCAGCTCACTGCAACCTCTATTTCCCGGCTCAAGCAATTCTTCTGTCTTAGCCTCCTGAGTAGCTGGGATTAGAGGCACATGCTACCAAGTCTGGCTAATTTTTGTATTTTTAGTAGAGATGGGTTTCACCATGTTGGCCAGGCTGGTCTTGAACTCCTGACCTCAAGTGATCCACCCACCTCAGACTCCCAAAGTGCTCGGATTACAGGCATGAACAGCCACCATGCCCAACCTATATTACTTTGTTTCGGTCCCTCCATCTGTCTCTTTCCTCCTGCCTGTGTCACTCTGTTTCTTCCTGTCCTTCTCTTCAGTCTTCTTGTCCCTGTTTCCAAGAGCTCCTGTGTCTCTACCTCCCCACACAGCCTCTGCATTTATGTCCCAGAGTCTCCTGAGACATTTTGATAAGATGAGATGGGAATCACCTAGCATGAATGAGATGTAGGTGCTAGCCACAGACCCATCACCTGTGTTTCCCACAGACACCAAGTTATGGAGAACTCAGAAACAACCTAGTGCTTCCTTCATGACCCCTCAGCTGCACCAGGGCGGAACAGCCCACCTGGCCTGTTTGCTCACTGCCAATTCATCAGCACTGCACCCAGCGCGAGGAAAACACAGTTCATTATTTGTTAAATGTCTGTAGTTTTTTCTTTTCTCTCTTTGCTTTCTTTTACATAACTTCTGTCTTTGCCTTCGATAGACACAATTGGTTTATGAAAATATATGTCTCTGAGGATTTGTTTGTTTGTTTGTTTGAGACAGGGTCTTGCTCTGTTGTCCAGGCTGGAATGCAGTGGCACAATCACAGCTCACTGCAGCCTCAACCTCCTGGGTTCAAGTGATCCTGTAGTCCCACCGTAGCCTCCTAAATACCTGGGGCTACAGGCACACACCACCATGCCTGGCTCATTTCTTTTCTATATTGTGTACAGACAGGATCTTATCATGTTGCCCAGGCTGTTCTCTAACTCTTGGCCTCAAGCAATCTTCCCGCCTGAGCTTCCCAAAGTACTAGGATTACAGGTGAGAGTCATCGCATCCAGCCTCTTTGAGCAATTCGTGGACATTATACACCTGGCATCTCTCTCTTTCCCTGGCTCTCTGTGTTTCTCTCCTGCCCATCCCCGACCCTCTCTATTCCCCTGTCTCTCTCCCTCTCTGTCCCTATCCCTCTGTCAGATCGTGTCTCCTGTTTCATGTGTCTCTGTCTCTGCCCACATATACCTCTCTTTCTATTCCCGTGCACCTGCATCTCTCAGTGTTTCGTTGTCTTTCTTTCCTATTCATCTCCCAGGACTCACCCTTGGATTTCCGAAGCTCCTCTATCAGACACTGAGCCTCCTCCTGAATCCGCTCCTCCACACTCCGCTTTCCCATCCCAAAGTCCCTCATGGTGGTCAGAGAGAATCGCCGAAGCACCTTCCAGCGGTTTCCATTGGCAAAGACAACGCCTGGGGTGTACGGAAGGTGTGGGTTGGTTGCATAGGAAGTTGGAAGAAGGCTCTGAGTCCTTCTTCCCCCCCATATCCTCCCTTCCCTGATGCATCCCCCACCCGCCCCCTCCCAGTGCCTCTGAGGCCCTCACCATATCCCTGGAATACTGGGTCAGTGATGGCGATTTTTCCCCGGCCAGAGAAGGCCTCAGCGTTGTCCACCAGGGCCTCCCGTATGGCCTCTACTCCACACAGCATGACCACGGGCCTCGGTCCCAGGTATACTGTGAAGACGTCCCCATATTTCTCTCGGAACTGCCAATTACATCCACACCCGGGGTGGCTGTTAGTCAGCATACACCTCAGTTGTAAAACTATCAAAATACTTACGTAAGAGATTGGTAATTAGCCCCTCCCCAACATCCGCCTTCCCAGGCTGCCCTTTCCCCTGCCAGGACCCAGCGACTAAGGGTTAACGGTTAATGGTATCCAAAGGAGAGAATACAGTCATGGGTTCTTAGTTTCTGTTTCTTGTTGGGCCAATAAAGCCCCTTGCTCATCCTTCTTTTCTGTGTATCACTAGAGACAGAAACTGAAAACCATGGCTTCAGGCTGCTAAAAGACTAAAACAAAACAACAACAACAAAATAAGGCGGTTGGACAAGCTTAGGTTAATGGGTGGCCCAGCCAGGCTCTGCTCTGATTGGCTGGTGCCCTAAACAGTAGAGATGGTTGCTAAAATACGACGAATATCACCCCATCCCATACTTCTTAGGATCTGTGGTTTTGCTTTTTGCAGTTTCAGTTACCTACATCTAACTGCAGTCTGAAAATATTAAATGGAAAATTCCAGAAATAATTCATCAGTTTTAAGTTGTGCATCATTCTGAGGAGGAGGATGATGTCTCTCACCATCCACTTTGTCCCACCCAGGACATGAATCATGCTTTGTTCACCACGTCTGCACAGTGTATACCACCCTCCCTATATAATGTGATTGTATAGGAAAAAGTCAATATGCATAGGGTTCAGTATTATGTGGGGTTTCAGGCATTCACTTGGGGGTCTCAGAAAATATCTCCAGTGGATAAGGTGGGATTAGTGTGCAGCCACTTGGGGAACTGCTGGGCAGTATTTCCCGAAGCTGAACAAATGGATACTCAGGAACCCAGCCACTTCACTCCCAGGTACATGCCCAGCAAAAATGTGTACTGTGTTCACGAAAAAATGAACAAAGTATTCACAGAAGCTTTCTTAATAAAATATTCATCAACATAGATATAGAGAAACAATGAGAGTTTCACACAGTAGAATATTATACAGCAATGAAAACGAACAAACTACAGCTACACTCGATAACGTGGCTGAAACTCACAGGCATAATTTTGAGTGGAAGCAATTAGACACAAAAGAGTCCATGTATCATAATCTTATGTGTATGAAGTTCAAACACAGGGCTGGACTCAGTGACTCACATCTGTAATCCCAGCACTTTGGGAGGCCGAGGCAGGCTGATCAAAATGTCAGGAGTTCAAGTCCAGCCTGACCAACATGGTGAAACCCCGTCTCTACTAAAAATACAAAAATTAGCCAGGCATGGTGGCCCTTGCCTGTAGTAGTCCCAGCTACTTGGGAGGCTGAGACAAGAAAATTGTTTGAGCCCAGGGAGGTGCAGGTTGCAGTGAGCTGAGATTGTGCCACTACATTCCAGCCTGGGTGACAGAGCAAGACTCTATCTCACAAACAAACAAACAAACAAAAGAAGTTTAAACACAGATAAAATCAATCCATGATCAAGGTGGTAGGCGGATAGTGACTAGAAAAGAACAGGGTGCAGGGTTTCGGGGGACTCTTGCTACTTGGTCTGCATGTCAATTACATGAGTGTGTTTAGTTTGTGAAAATTCATTGAGCTGTGCACTTTTTATGGTGATGTTCAACTTCAATAAAAACTTGACATAAAAATCATAAAAATGGTTAACTTTACTTACAAATGACCTGCACTGGTCTCAGCAAAGCCCCTTCACTGCTCTCCAGGCTTACATGCTTATACCACTTAACAATTGTTTCAGTGCCCCACAAGCCAGGGTAACCCCACTAAAATGTAAAATAATTAATATCCCTGTGCTCACCAAGGCCTCCAATACTCCCACTTTGCCGAGAATAAGATCTGAAGTCTCCATGGATGGTTCACATGGTCCTACATGACGTGGCCCCGTTACCTCTCTGACTTCTCCTCCCACTCATTCCTCCATGTTGTTCCCTGAGATTTTTCCTGCTTCAGAATTCTTGCAACCACCCCTGCCTCCTTCTGGTGCCTTCCACCTGAATCTTTCCTGGTCCCTGCTCAGAAACAAAGCAGGAGTCTTTCCTAGACTCTTTCCTAGACTCTAGAAGACTAGAACCTAGTCTTCTAGGTTGAGTTTCCTCAACCTAACGTAGTTCTCATCACCTTCTGAAATAACCCCCTGCTTAGTTTAATCATAGCTCTTGTCCACCTAACATTTCCTTATCTGTTTATTTTTTGCTTATCTGTCTCCACCAACGGAATGTCCATAAGCACAGTGATCTCGTATGTCTTGTCCAAGATGCCACATCATCAATTCCTAGAATATTTCCTGGTACGTAGGAAGTGCCCAGTGAATTGTTATTGGATTCATGAATAAATGAATGAGTGGATCAAGGTAGTTGCCATTTAATGAGCACTTATTATATACTAGCTGTATGCAATATCCCATTTAATCCTCACAACCACCTTAGGGGCACACCTTCTCATTGTCATGATCTCAACTGACAGAAGAGAAAACTGTGACTCAATGCATAAGAGTTGAATCTGAGACATAAGCCCGCATCCTTCTGACTCCAGAAGGAATCTGGAAGCTTATTGGGAAATGGAAAAGCAACAGCACCAGCTTCCTCAGCCTTGACACACACTTGCTCATGCCCTCCCTCTTTACCCTGCCCCAAGAGATGTAATCATAATAGATGGTCATGAATACCTAGAGAATCCTTGGAAGGTTTATGAAAGAGTTTTAGGGAGTCTGTGAAGCCTCATAACTTTGTGCAAACATGTATGTGCCTATTTGGAAAAGAGGGGGCCACAGCTTTAATCAAACTCTCAGAGGATTTCATCATCCACAAATTGTTAAGCAGCTTTAATCTAGGAGGGCTTTGGAGACAGACCTCCTGCTGGATCTCAGCTTCCCCTTTTCCCATCTGTGTGACACTGGACCAGTGCTTTCCCCAGGCTGAGCATCACCATCCCTACTTTTTTTTTTTGAGATAGAGTTTCACTCTTGTTGTCCAGGATGGAGTGCAATGGTGCAATCCCGGCTCAGGGCAACCTCCGCCTCCTGGGATCAGGCAAGAGTGCTGCCTCAGCCTCCTGAGTAGCTGGGATTACGGACATGTGCCACAACGCCCAGCTAGTTTTCTGGGTTTTTTTTTTAGTACAGATGGGGTTTCTCCATGTTGATCAGGCTGGTCTCGAACTCCTGACCTCAGGTGATCTGCCCACCTCAGCCTCCCAAAGTACTGAGACTACAGGCATCAGCTGCTGTGCCTGGCCACAGTCCCTACTTCTAAGATGAGGGCAGCACCTCACCTTGTCCACAGGTAGTTGTAAATGACACCTGGAAAATCCCCAAGACAACACAGATAATTCCCAGCCACATTACTCGAGGGAAAAAATTAAGCCCATTGATTCACATGATAGCATGATAGTCTTGTGACATGTGGAAACAATGAAAAGAAAACAATAGGCACTTGGGACCTTCACCTATGTGATGCAGCTCTACTTGGCTGGGAGGGATCCCCAGATCTGCGACCCCCCTACCGGGGGCCAAGCAGCACTTTGCAGACCCCGGCCAACTGCCAGTTCCGCTGAGTTAGGCTTGGAGCTTTCACTCACTGACTCCTTCATTTGTTCCCGGACACGTATTTACTAAACGCCTACTGTGTACCAGGCACTATGTTCAGCACTGTGCTGAGACCTCACAGGTCTTCCTTGTCTGCAAGTGTGAGGGAGAGCTCAGCCACAGGTTCACAGGTAAACGCAGCACTGTCAAGGACATAGGCTCAGTAACAAGGGGCAGCTGGTATATAAGAGCATATGGTGGGGACCTGGGGCTCAGGAAATCTTCTCAAGGGAGCTGCTGCCTGCCTGGATAGCTAAGAAACCCCAATAACGAAGAACGGACACTGTTCTTGCACTGACATTAACCAAAATGACCCACCCACATCCTCAAGAAACAACAACAACAACAAAACAAACTATTTGCCCCAAGTCCTCCCTGTGAGAAAATGGAAATCTTTGCTGCAAGAAAGAAGGGAAGAAGGTCAAACATGTCTATTCAAAACTTCTCCCAATGCTTTGGGAGGTTGAGGCAGAAGGACTGCTTCAGGCCAGGAGTTCGAGACCAGCCTAGGCAACATAGTGAGACCTTCCCCCAAACCTGTGTCTACAAAAGTAAAAATAAATAGTGGGGCATGGTGGGTCATACCTATAGTCCCAGGTACTCTGGAGGCTAAGGTGGGAGAATCTCCTGAGCCCAGGAGATCAAGGCTTCAGTGAGCTATGACTGTGCCATTGCACTCCAGCCTGGGTAACAGACTGAGACCCTGTCTCTAAAATGGTTAAAATGAAAAAATTCTTCAATATCATTCCTGACAAGCCTCCACTTTCTATGAGCTAACAAGGTAGCCACAAAGATGCTTTCGAAAACGCATTTTAGGCAAACACGAATTTCATTGACAGTTTTGCTTGTTTCAGAATTTGTAAAGGATTGGGATATTCAATGTCCATACCAGCTTTCATAAAGAAAGGGGGCAGTGAGATACCAAGAGCTAGAAGGAGCAGCAAATTCTGTTAATAGAGGCATGATTGGTGCCCAGGTAGCCTCTGCAGAGCTTGGAAAAAACCCTTAAAGAGAGGGTTCAGTGAATTGTGTAGGATGTGTTTGGCCAGAATTTAAATGTATACACACTTTCCTAAATGTTATCACTCCTCACACTGCAGATGATATATATATTTTTTAAGTGACAGGGTCTTGCTCTGTCACCCAGGCTGGAGTGCAGTGATGTGATCATAGCTCACTGCAGCCTCAAACTGCGGGGCTCAAGTGATCCTCCTGACTCAGTCTTCCAAGTAGCTGGGACTACAGGCACATGCAACCATGCCTGGCTAAATTTTTAAAAATTTTTGGTAGAGACAGGGTCTTGTTCAGTTGCCCAGGCTCATTTCTAACTCCTGGGTTCAAGCGATCCTCCCACCTCAGCCTCCCAAAGTGTTGGGAATACAGCTATAAGCCACCATGTCTTCGAGTGTTGACCAGTTGGGTGGTGAGCCACCCAAACAACATCTTACCTAATTATAAGCCTCCTTGGCTCCCTCCATGGCATTTCCCTGAAAAATCTAAAGATTCCATAATTTGAGAATCTATGACCCAATTACCTTGTATCTTCCAGGTAAAGTGACAGTGTCTAACTAATAAACAAAGACCATGTGTTTTGACTAAATGTCTAAGATAAACATATATGTATGACAATTATCACATTCATCATTTGTATGTCCATGTATTCTGTCTAAGCAAATACTTTTAAAATTCATGGTAGTATTAGCATATATACTCTGTACTTGGTATCAGTAAAAGACCATTGATGAGAAAAAAATAAACTCTATTAATAGCAAAAGGATAAGGAGCCTAAGATTCAGGAGTATGTTAACATGGGAGCGGGATGGGGAAGAGCAGCTGGAAGGTATTGTCAGTGTTCTAATTCTCCCATTGGAAAGTGAGTTGATTGATTACTAATAATAAGTAGATAATTAAACATAAAATTATGCATGGTAAGCAGTGATAAGCCAGGTAAATACTGAGTAAGTGTCAGTTACACATTATAGGGCATTATGTATACTGTTGATAAGCACTCCCTGCCCAGACTCCTTTCCTGCTCTCCCTCTCTCCTCCACTGTCCTGGCACTGACACGGGCTAGTCTGCTCTCTCTCATTGGCACAGCAAAATCTATTTGATTCGTGTCACCACCTGTTTTACCTCATTCTTTCAGTGACAGGCAGGTACCCAAAGCCGAGACGGGCACATCATGAGGTCAGGAGATCGAGACCATCCTGGCTAACACAGTGAAACCCCGTCTCTACTAAAAACACAAAAAATTAGCCAGGCGAGGTGGCAGGCGCCTGTAGTCCCAGCTACTCGGGAGGCTGAGGCAGGAGAATGGTGTGAACCTGGGAGGCGGAGCTTGCAGTGAGCCGAGATTGCGCCACTGCACTCCAGCCTGGGAGACAGAGCCAGACTCCGCCTAAAAAAAAAAAAAAAAAAAAAAAAAAAAAAAAAAAAAAAAAAAAGAAAATCCACAGGACTATAATCTGCGAATGGCTTTAGCAAAGGCTTATACTCTAGCAACAAACAAACAAACAAACAACAACAACAAAAAAAACAAGCAATTGTTGAGTTTGTGAGTCAATGCCCCAAAATCAGGAAATAATTTCACTGGTGCCAATGCCTCTTTGTGTTCCCAATGGGAATCACCCTGAAGCCCCAACGGAGGAGTGGAAAGCTATATCTTGATATTCCAGACATCATTGCCACTTGCTTTTTTGCACTCACTGGAAATATTTGGAAGTGATTATGTTCTTAGTTAGGTAATATAATAACAGTATTTAATAACATATTATTAACTAACTAAGAACATAATCACTACCAAATATAGAAAACGTATCTGAATGATGGCTGAAAAAGGCATATTGTGTTTCCAGGCATCCCGTATGCAGGACCTGGGGATAACCTGTGTGGGTATGGGTAATTGCATGTGTAATGTTACTGGATTAAATATGATAAAGTGGCCAGGCGTGGTGGCTCATGCTTGTAATCCCAGCACTTTGGGAGATTGAGATGGGAGGATCGCTTGAAGCTAAGAGTTCAAGAACTGCCTGGTCAACATAGCAAGACCCCAACTCTATAATAAATAAATAAATAAATAAGTAAATGCAGTAAAGTCTCTTTCCAACTAAATGTGGCTGTGCATCCTTGCAGCATGCTAGAAAAAGACCACAAAAAAAGTAAGTTTCCCACCTCGTTCAGGAGCTATGCAGACTTACGGGTAAACAAGCTTAACTGACCTCTGCTCTGATGCCAGTAGGTGACCCTCTTTTCAAACCCAAGTGCCTACCTTGAGTCTGTGGAGGTTTGCTTACTCTGTTCTTTCTCCTCACTGGTCCAGAACTTGCTATGTGTCCTAGCTCACTGCTGCTTTCCAAATTGTTTCCCTGAGAGTTCCCTGATACTTCCCGTAGTTAAAAGCCAAAACAGTCAATAACTGAAATTACTGCTGAGAAAAGGTTCCAATGGGGTTCCTGGGGGCTCGCTCTTGGTAGTATTGCGGGTGACAGTTGTATGGAATCTGAGGCTAATCTATACATTAAAGGACATCTTGAATTTTGTAGGCAGTTGAACATCCAGGGAGTTCAGATGGGTAGAAGCCACTCTCCAAAAGGGGGATGAGAACATTTGTGTTCAACAAAAATGCTTAAATGAACATCATGCAATTTTAGATCTCCTCCTTGCCCATCTTGGAGGCTTATGTATGGTGCTGAACAAAACCGAATATTGCTCTTACCTTTCCCATGAATTCACTAGTACATATAACTTAATTTAAAATGTGGTTGACACTGCTGTTTCTCTAGACACTGCCACCAAATACACTAAGGACATTTCTCAGGGGAGAGAGAAGATACGTGTTTACAGGAGCAGCTAACAGGTGATTTGCAAGCATCCTGAATGGTGATGGCAAGTGATATGGTTTGGCTCTGTGTCCTCACCCAAATCTCATCTTGAATTGTAATCCCCAGGTGTGGAGGGAAGGACCTAGTAGGAGGTAATTGGATCCTGGGGGCGGTTTCCCCTATGCTAATCTTGTGATAGTGAATTCTCACAAGATCTGATGGTTTTATAAGAGGCTCTTCCCCTTTTGCTCTCTCTCTCTCTCTCCTGCCACTTTGTGAAGAAGGTGCTTGCGAATCAGTTACATCCCTTTTCTTTATAAATTACCCAGTCACATGTATCTCTTCATAACAGTGTGAGAACAGACTAACACAGCAAGGCTGACTATCCCAAGGTTTTCTACTCTTAATGTTTCTTCTAGTGGGTCTCCAGGATACTATGATATGTGTTACCAGGCCAACTACAAATGAATGCCTCTTTAAATCAAGTTATTTTATAGCAAGCTCTGGTCCTTAATCACCATCATGCCCTGAACAAAGTCTATGACCAATCGGACTCTAATACTATTGAACTGTGTTTACTGCCTGAGCTTTGAATTATTCGATTTTGATCAGTTTGGTTCATGGAGACTTCTGGTAAGGTACAGACTTGATTTTCTTTGTATTACCCTCCTGCGAGCCATCATAACAGTCTCTCTGATGTGTTGTATTTCTCAAGAGTCTTAGCCAGGTGCGGTGGCTCCCACCTGTAATCCTAGCACTTTGGGAGGCCAAGGCAGGTGGATTGCTTGTGCCCAGGAGTTTGAGACCAGTCTGGACAACATGGCAAAACCCTGTCTCTACAAAAAATACAAAAAGTAGTTGGGCGTGATGGCATGCACCTGTAGTTTCAGCTACTTGGGGGCTGAGGCAGGAGGATCACCTGAGCCTTGGGAGTTCAAGGCTGCAGTGAGCTGTGATCGTGACACAGCACTCCAGCCTGGGTGACAGAGTGAGACCCTGTCTCAAAAAAAAAAGGAGTCTTAAATGCTCATATGCAGCCATTCTTTGTACATCCAATGGTCTCGTTACAGTATGAATAACAAAACCATGAAGAAAACATAAAGAATCACTCAACTACTTTGGTATTGTCCATTGTGAATTCCATAGTGAGAGCAACAAGTCCATTATGATGGTGAGAGAAGTAATGTTGATGCCCAAGGTTTTGGTCAGTCTCAAAATTTTGAGGCTGACCAAAAGGGGAAAATTGTTTAATTAAATTAAATTTGACCTAAAGCTCTTTCTGTATACAGTGAACTGCAACCTAATTTGGGACTATATTCTCTCTCTTTTTTTTTTTTTTTTTTTTTTTTGGAGATGGAGTCTCCCTCTGTCACCCAGGCTGGAATGTAGTGGAAACATCTCGTCTCAGTGCAACCTCCACTTGCTGGATTCAAGTGATTCTCCTGCCTCAGCATCCTGGGTAGCTGGAATTACAGGCACGCACCACCATGCCCAGCTAATTTTTGTATTTTTAGTAGAGACAGGGTTTCTCCATGTTGGCCAGGCTGGTTTTGAACTCCTGACCTCAGGTGATCTGCCCGCCTCGGCCTCCCAAAGTGCGGGGGTTACAGGCATGAGCCACTGTGCCCAGCCCAAAGGAATATATTCTTGTGACAAGTAGCCAAGTGTTGGCTAATCAGAGCAGCTGGGCTTTCAGTCCACCACAGGCGCAAACTGCTCAGATTGTGACCAAGTAAGGCAAGCTGCAATCTGTGTCCAATCAGGCTGTTTCTGTATGTCACCTCCTTTTCCTGCCTGTAAATACTGTTTGCCCATACTGCCGTGTGGTGTCTCTCCTTGTTTAAGGAGTTGTCCAATTCATGAGCCACCTCTTTGCTCAAATAAACTCTGCGAAATTTAATTTGACTGATGTTTTTCTCCTAATAACAGCACCCATCATGCTTCACTATGCTCCGTACTCATCATCCCTCCCCGTGCCACCCCTGACTCAGGAAGTCTGTCTCAGTCTGTTTGGTGAAGGATCCCCGAGTACAGAGGCAAGAAGCAGCCCACCCTCAGACCCCATTCATCTGTGCCTTACCCTCAGAAAGGATCTGAGTAGGCCTCTTCTGTCCATCTGCAGAAGGTTCCCCAAAAGGGGCAGAGGGCAGGGACCTGGTGGGAGGCGGCCATGGGCGTTAGGGTGGCGCTGAACCAGGAGTAGCAGGAGGCCTGTAAGGAGTGCAAGGAAGAGGAGGACGCTGAGCTCCATGGTTCTGGTGTGACTGCCCTGCACCCCACTGCAGCCTCCAACTGGGCCTTTTATCCTGAACCTACCTCTCCACCCAGTTATGAAATTTCATCCATTCCCCGCCTCCTTTTTCATCATTGTCCAGGAGCATTAGCTTAGAAAAAGGTATTAGGGAACCCACACTACATGTTGGGCAACCCAGAGACCTGATGCCTATCCCTTACCCACTCTCTAGATGTTGGCAAGGATACAGTGGTAGAGTTATCAAAGTCCACCTGAGCATGTGAATGTGTGGGTGTGTGGGTATGTGTATGTGTATTTTTGTAAGCATGGGTGAGCATGCACTTTTTTACTTAGCTTTGTCTGTTTGTTTATGCTTGTGTACATTCATCCATGCCTGCTTGCATCCCTGTATGTGCTTACATGGTTTTTGTATGTAAGGGGTGCTTGAATTTATGCAAATGTGCTGATGTGTGTTTCTGTGGTTGAATCCGGGGGTGCTTATGTGTATATCCTTGCATGTGTGACCTTCCTTGTATTTATACAGTTTCATATATGAAAGTGCATTTACTTTTGTGTGTTGTGGAGGTTGTGGTAGTGTATGTTCAAATCGAGAGGCTGACTGGGTGCGGTGGCTCATGCCTGTAATCCCAGCACTTTGGGAAACTGAGGTGGGCACATCACTTGAGGTCAGGAGTTCGAGACCAGCCTGGCCAACATGGCAACACCCTGTCTCTTCTAAAAATAGAAAAATTAGCTGGGCATGGTGGTGGGCATGTTTAATCCCAGCTACTTGGGAGGCTGAGGCAAGAGAATCACCTGAACCTGGGAGGCGGAGGCTGCAGTGAGCTGAGATTACGCCACTGCACTCCAGCCTGGGTGGTAGAGCAATATTCTAACTCAAAGAAAAAAAAGAAAGAAAGAAAAAGAAAAAGAAAGAAAGAAAGAAAAAAGAGAAGCTGAAGAAAAGAAGGAATTGTTCAATTCCATCAAATTTGGCCCACTGCCTTTATACCACAGCAGACTATAACCTAGCAATATGCAAACCAATTGTGTGTATCTCTGTGTGCTGGCGTATTTGTGCTTGTGTGTTGGTGCGTCTCCTAGCCCCTCTCTTTGGAAGCCTGCAGAAGCTCAGGGTCTATCTCCAATGTCCTCTCCTTCATTCGCCCTTCTGTGACAGCCACAGGTGGAAGTGATGGGAGAAACAGAATGAGGGGCAAGAGATGCCGAACTGGTGAGTCTCAGAGGAAGAGGTGGTCAGTTGGAGGGAGACAGAAACTGAGACCTGGCAGGTGCAGCAATCAGGTCCCCTTGGTTTCTGATCATTCTAACTAGTGCTGAGGAGTTTCTTCCCTGCCTCTGACCATCTTCACAGTGCAGGAAATTTCTCTGGCTCTGTCTCTCTCTAACTTTGTGTCTCTGTTTTCCCCCTGGAGACTCTTGAGCTCCAGGTGTGCAGAAAATGGGTCCAGTTTGATTGACGTCTACTGGACTCCCATTTGTCTCTATCTTCACTGTGACCCTGCACCCACACAGCCTCTGACAGGGTCAGTCCATATTTGCAAAATTTGGGTGTGAATGTGTCCGTGTCTCCCTGTCTCATCCTAGACCTGACTTTTGACCATAAGGCAACATCTTTCTTGCAATATTAAGCAAACCCTTTGCTGGATCCAGGGCACTGACCCCGAAGTTACTTTGATCCAGGAAAAGCAGACGAACAGTCCTGATTTTTAAGAGGTGAAGCTGTACTTTCCTGACCCTAGAGAGGTGCCAGCATGGACTTTCCTGACCCAAGGACCTGGGTCTTGCTGTGCTGTGTCATCTGATGCCAAGATTGCGTCCTCATTCCAACCCCAGAGTGAAGCACCAATGGGGAGGCATGAAGGGCTTTACACACAGTAACTCAGTCTGTACCCTTTTAGGGAGGTATGGTTGCCATCCCCATTTTATAGATGGAGAGACTGAAGCCAGTGACAGTTTGCAAGTCTTACCCAAGGTCGCACAGTGGGTTAGGGCTACATTGTCCAATATGGTAGTCACTTGCTGCATGTGGACACTAATTAAGTACTTGAAATGTGGTCCAAATACTGTTTACAATAGCAAAGATAGGGAATCAACAGATGAATGGTTAAATACAATGTAGTATATATACACCGTTGAATACTATTTAGCCATAAAAAGGAATAAAATCTTGTCTTTTATAGCAACATAGATACAACTGGAGGTGATTATCTTAAGCGAAACAAGCCAGGACAGAAAGTCAGTATCACATGTTCTCATTAGAAAGTGGGTGCTAAACAATGTGTACACATGGACCTAGAGAGTGGAATAATAGATAGAACCTCCAGTGCAATTTTGAATCAGGGTGGTAAGAACAGCCATTCATTACTTGCTCCCAATCTTAGAGGGAAAGCATTAAGTCTTTCACCTTTAAGTATGATGTTGGCTGCAGACTTTTTCTAGATGCCTTTAGTCAGGGTAAGAAATTCTGTTTATTTCTAGCTCACTGATAATTTTTAATCAGGAATGGATGTTGGATTTCTATCAAGTGTTTTTCATGTCTGTATTATAATGAATATATTATATGCTTATTAATATGCTGAGTTCCCTTAATTGATTATCAGATATTAAACCAACCTTGCATCCCTTGTTAAACCCACTTCCATTGTGTTTATCCCACAAGGTAGTACACTTGTTTATATTGTTAGATTTAATTTGCCAAAATTTTGTTTAGTATTTTTAAATCTATGTTCATGAGGACATTGGTCCATAGTTTTCCTTTTTGGAATGTCTTTGCTTGGTTTTGAGATCAGTGTGATATTGGCCTCAGAGAATGAGATGGAAAATTTCACGTCCTGTTTTTCTGAGATTTTATAGACTAGATATGCTCTTTTCATAAATGTTTGATAGAACTCACTAGTGAAGTCATATGGGCCTAGAGTTTTCTTTGTAGAAAAGTTTTAAGTACTCATTCAGTTTGAAAATAACTATAGGGCTGTTCAGGCTATCTATTCTCCCTTAGTGAGTTTTTGTGGTTTGTGTCTTCTGAGGAATTTATTCAAATCATCTAAATTGCCATTCTTTTTTTGCCAAGGTTTTATTAAATTCCCTTATTATTATTTAAAATATTTATAGAATCTATAATGATTTCAACTATCTTTCCTGATATTGGTAAATGATGTATTTTCTATTTTTTTCTTTATCAATTTTATTAGTCTTCACAAAGAATAAGTGTCTGGTTTCATTGATTTTCCTTGTTGTTTCTCTGTTTTATATTTCATTGATTTCTTCTGTAATTTTAGAATTTGTTTCTTTTATCACCTTTGGGGTTTTATTTCTTCTTTTTTTTCAAGTGGAAGCTAATATCATTGATTTGAGATCTTTCTTCTTTTAAAGAATGTTTATTACTCAAGTTACTCAAAAGTCCTCCATGAGCTATCTGCACCCCATGTTTATTGTAGCATACTCACACAGCCAAGATATTCGATCAACCTAAGTGTGTATCAACAGATGAATGAATGGATAAAGAAAATGTGCCATGCATGCATGCACGCACACACACACACACACACACATGCATACACACACCCCCCTCTAATACTATTCAGTCTTAAGAAAGAAGAAAATCCTGCCTTTGCACAGCAGGTGAACGGGACCCCGTTACATAATGAAATACATCAGGCACAGAAATATATATACTGCATGATCTCCCTTATATGTGGAGTATTAAAAAGTTAACCCACAGATAAATGTGTTTGGTAAAAGTTTAACCCCAAAGAGTAGAAATGGGGTACCAGATTGGTGGAGAGGTGAGGAGATGTTGATCAAAGGGATACAAAATGTCAGTTAGAGGGAATAAGTCAGAGATACTCATACATAAAATGTGACCTATAGTTAATAAAAAGTATTGTGTTAACTAAAATAATTGAAAAGCAATTACTGAAATGCTAAGAGTTTATGACTCCCACCTGTGGGTGAAGCAAATGGCCGCAGCCACGAGAGCAATCCTGCCCTCCTCAGGAGGCCCTGCAGAGCATCTGCTGAGGACGCCGGGATCAGCCACTCCTGCCTACTGTAGTCAGTGCCCACACACCCATTGAAGGTCTGAGGACAGGCCCCCTGGCCAAGCCACTCTCCACTAGTGCCCAAGCATGTCATATGGGTGCTGGGATCGCCGCTGCCTCTCCATCCCACCTTGGCAGTTTGAGTACAAAGTACCAAAAGTACTCGCCCTGAGCCTCCTCCCAGGGAGAATGGTCCACCCAACACGCTGCTACCACCATGGCTGGCACCCACCTGCATGGCCACCAGCAGGCCTGGCGACTGCCTATCCAGTCCATTACACCACCACCACACCAGCATGGACCATTTGAGCTAGAAGATATCCTGCCACTGTACTGCTCATTCTATGTCCACCACGCAGGGTCATGGACCCATACACCAGCGCAGCCCTCCATTCCCACTTTCAGAACCTGAGAAATCACCCTAGAGGCCCAAGAGTTGGCCCACCTAATCCACTAACACCATGGCCAGTGTATGCTACCCTGGAACCCAAGGACAGGCATACTCAGCATCTGCTGCCATCCCTTGGTCCACCTAATGCCCCCATCTCAGAAAAACTTTACCACAGCGTCCACTAACAACCATCACCCTAAGCCAAATGAGGAAATCACAGACACCACTGACACACTACCTTGACATTTTTTATGGAGAAGAAATCATATGGAACCACAACCTAATGCATGCACTCCAGAATCAAAGTCAAGTGCCCCAACCCACAAAACCATAGACATATCTTCAGGAAAAAGTCCTTCCCTATGAAAGCAGATTCAAAAAATTAAAAGAAGCAACCATGATCCCAGATGCACAGATATCAATATAAAGACACAAGAAACATGCAAAAGCAAGAAAACACGACACCCTTAAAAGAACACAGTAATTCTCCAGCCAGAGAGTCTAATGAAAAATAAATCTAGGCCAAGCATGGTAGCTCACGCCTGTAATCCCAGCACTGTGGGAGGCTGAGGTGGGTGGATCACTCGAGGTCAGGAGTTTGAGACCAGCCTG